AGTCAGCTTTAGCAACAGGTTGTTCTTGTCATTCAAAAAAAAGAGCCCTGTAAAAGCAACAAACTCGGCCACACACAGTTCTAAGTGAACAGCTAAGTAAGCAGTAAACAGTTTTCACTGACTCCGTATCATCTTCCATATCTAATTAGAAAAATTAACTATGCTTTTAGTAAAATGAAGCATTTTCAACATAATACCAAAGAGAAAATTTGTCATAACGTGTTTGTATCCTAAATGCAACTCACAAGCCGCATGTTGTGGTATGTTAATACTAAAAACAAACAAAAACAACACACTCACTCCATTAACTACACCATCTACTAGAAGTCAGTGATTCTTACTATTATGGGGATCACACACTCTTTTGCAAATATGAAAAAAGCTATTCATATAATATTCAGGACTTCATGGTGCCTTGAAGCCTATATATAGGTCCCTGAGGTTTAAGGAATCTCTGATTAGTAGAAGAACAGAGTACAAAATCAATCCAAGAACATATAAATAAAAGTGGGGAAAAATGGATTTATTAACATTTTCCATAAGTGGCTATTTGCTGAAATCACATAACTCTCTATAAAGGTACAAATGTCTCAAAGAGCTAAATATAAGAAAAATTACAAAATATTGTAACAAAATATAGAAAATGTACATCATCTTGGTTGGAGGAAGTCTTCTTAAGAAGCATAAGATAAGAAACCTACTTGCCTTAACAGATTTGACTTGTTAAATTTTATATCTTTTGTATTAGCAAATACACTATAAAGTCAAGGGACAAATACAAACTTGAAGAAAAACAGATGTAAGACATATGACAGCTAAAGGATTACTAATTCATATATATATATACACACACACACACACACACACACACACACACATTTTTTAACTAAAAATTAAGATAAACTACCCAATAGACAAATGAAAATGAACTAACAGTAAATGATGTTGAAACTGAGTAGAAGTTAAGGAAATGTTAATCAATGCAACAATGTATCATTTCACAGTTTCAGACTGGCAAAAATTAAAAGCTGATAGCATTCAGTGTTTTTGAGTGTGTGCTGGCAGTGTAGGGAACTGTAATATTTTGGAATTAATTTTTCTGGAAAGTAACAGATTTTAAAATCTGCTAAATTGTAAAATACATATATCCTTTCTCTTAACAGACACATAAAACTTTATCCTAGTAAAAAATGATACCAACACAGAAGGAATTGAAAGGATATAAAAGGATGTTTCTCATAACATTGCTTGTAATACCAAGAAAAGAAATGGAAAAAAAAAAAAGGGTGTCTGCACAGGGAGACAGGGAACAAATGTCCATTATTGGCATAATCACTTAATAATTTATGATACATGGATACTATGGAATATTATACAGCTATTACAATGAGAAAGTCAAATTTACATGTATTGAACAGGAAAAATGTCTACGATATTAAATGAAAAAAAGCAAAATACAGAGTAATGTGTACCATGATCCCACATTAGTTTTTAAAAAAGATAAAAGAAAACTCTATTAGGTGATATTGGGCTTTTTAGGGATTCCTATTTAAATAATTTCTCAAGTGGTCAATGGATACACCTAAGTTTTGAATATATCTATTGATCGATTAGAAATCTATCAAAATACTCTAAAATCAAGGTGCAAAACAACAGAAAAGATAAACAACAAAAACCACTTTTAAGAACAAAACATTTAACAGTTTCAGTAACAAAATAAAAATGCTTTTTAATGTTGCAGTTTTACACTTACAGAAAACCACCACAGTTTTTCCTATAATAGAATCAAGCTATTTCACATGTTTCATTGGGTAATGTAATTACACTCATTATACAGATATAAACAAGGGCAGACATTACACTAAACCAATTCTTTTGTGTCAGAAATTAGATTTTCTTGGAATGGTATTCATTCTCAGCAATAAATGCAATTAAACATTGGTATTGCAGTTTAAAAATTCTATTCAAACTGCTAAATCTTAGAATGTTAATACAAAGTCTGAAGTACCCAAGTATAATTAAAGGAGCACTTGATTTAGAATCAGATATACCTGCATTCTAATCCTGGCTCTGCCACCTACTAGCTATGTATGTGGTCAAGCTATACAACCATTGAACCTATTCCTGCATCTGTAAAAATGGCTTTCTATGGTGGTCTTGCAAGATTAAATAATATCACATATGAAGGCATACTAGAGTGAGTCTGTCAAATTATGCCTTCTTCTGTCTTCCTTGTCTAAGATTACTAACTGGCAACATTTGTTTTAGTACTGCCAGTAAGACTACAAATCCAAAAGACTGTTGATACTAAATTTTACACTTTATTTGCCATGTTTTTAATCTCCAGAGATTAGTTCAAGTGTTTTGAATTTGAGGTTCCTTTTCTTGTCTCATTTTTGAGAATTAGTTGGATCCATATCTAGTATTTCTGATGGAATTTAAAGGTTTCTTGTAACAACAAAAATCACACACACAAAAAAGACATTTTCTACCTGTGGCTTTCTACATCTCCAGATAACTCTTTTTGAACTCATTCAGGTGTGTCTACAGAAACTACTTCCAGGTATTATGAAAAAAATGTTAGGCAAGGAAGGAAAAACCAAAAGTTGAAGTTATGCTAATCGAGGACAATATGTCTAAGATATCTACCTAGCGATACAACAAAGAATAAATTAAAATGTTAATTTTAATATAACTTTAAAATTCCTCCAAAGGGAGTCTTTTTTTCTATAAAGCTGGATCATTAATGAGGCCAGAATATGATAGTGAATGCTGCTAAATGGATCCAAACGAAAAGAAAAAACATTTTGGCCAACCTTCAATATTTAAAGTGTATATTTTTCCATCATACAATACATATTAAATAAGTTTTATCTTAGTGTTAAGGTCTATCCTAGAATTATCTTTGCCCCTCTTCAACTTTAGTTGCACTTCAGTTAGACTTATTTGATGCTCTTTTATATGCTGCTCTTTAAAATGTCTCCAAGGCTTTTTGCAAGGTCTACCCAAACTGCAAATAGCTACTATTTGTAATGTTATAATTATTTTCTTATTTTTTTCCTAATTATTAATAATCACCCATAACAGCATCTAGATGTTATTTCTTAGTCTGAATTGTACTGCTGCAGGTATTTCATCGACTGCTTCTCAGTCTTTAAACGACGCTGAGGTGAAAGTGTATGCATCAAAACACTTCACATTACTTTTCCTTATTCAAATTACAGCCTCTTGGCTGATTTTTAAGTGCCCTGTAGATTTTTAAGTCAAAATGTGTCACTTACATTCTTTTACCACTCCCTCCCCATCCTGAGCTCTTGCCAAATTCCAAAGTTACCTACTAACCTAAAATCTGTGCATTTTCAGGTCTTTCACAACTTCATTCCAACTTTTTGTACTTCCCATCTCTTCTTCCATTAAAGTAAGCACTTCTTAACTCCTTAAGGTACTTATCCATACGGTTAACTTCTTGCATATACTTTTCCTTCCATAAACTTAAATCTCACTGTAATTCCCCTCCTCTTCTAAATTCATCACATCAACATTGCTGCAAAGCAATACATATATACATCCCTATACTTAAGCCCAAAATATAAATCAGTTTAGCGCCACTAAGAAAAAAACTAAAAAGCCTGGACGCATTTCTGTACCCCGCTGAAGTTTATTTGCTTTCCTGTCCTACTTGGAGAGCCTATTTCCCCCATCAGTTGTGTGGTCCCTTACTGCCCCCAGCACAAGAGTGCAACTCACTACAGCGTATTTCACCCAGTACCTCCCTCCATTTCTGCTCATCTAATCCTTCGTGAACCGCCCCATCGCCAAAAGATTTCGTATCCAGGTGACCACATTTCAAATTAGAATACCTCTCTGCTGACAGTACGAGAGCTTTCTAAACGACTTCTAAGAGCACAACGCAAGGCTGAGCGTTTCTGTCTCCTCCAGCAGGACCTGCTCCCCACCGAGTTCAGTCTCCTCTAGCTCTGTTCCCGTGGCATGCCTACTTCGGTGTAACCCTTTGGCTTGGGAAACTCCAACCTTGCAACCTCTGCCCCGCAACCTCGCGAGCCCAGCACGCTACTCAAGCTTAATCCACACCATTCTTGAGCTCTCCTTGCCCCCAGTCCCAGATCTCTTTGCATCCTTTTTCAGCTACGGGCCCCTGAGCCAGCCCCTAGGTTAGAGAACGCCCACTTGCTCTGGTTGCAATGCCTCCCCGGCACAGCTCCTTCCACACCACTCATCCCCGAGTGGCTCTGCTCCTCACCTAGCTTCGACCGGGACTCCTCCAGTTTCTGGATTTGGTTCTCCAAGAAGAGCATCGCCACCGCGAAGGCCACCACTGCCAGCAGCTGCAACTTGGGCGGCATCATAATCCTGAGGAGCCCCATGAAACCCGTTGCTCGGGATCAAGACATACCGCGGGGGGCGGGGAGCGGGGCCCCGAAGGCGAAAGAGACGCCGAGAAGAGCCCACCGAGCCAGAGAAAGGCAAGGAGAGCGCGACAGCGAGAGAACCACCGCAGCAGCCCCCCTTCTAGCCTCCCCAATCCCCCGCCCCCAGGCGCTAGCACCAACGCCACCGGTGCCCGCTTCTCCTCGGCCGCCCCAACGGCCGCCCCCTCCAACAGCCCGCGCAACAAATAGCGCGAAGTGGCTGCCGGGCTCTCGCCTGCTTCCACTGACTCAGTCCCCGACCCCCGTGCCCGCCCGGCTGCCCGGTTCCCTCTCTTCCTTCCTTCCCTCCCTCTGCTGCTCGCGGCCGCGCGCTCCCCGCCAAGCGCTGCGGCTGCGGCTGCGCCGCCCTCGGCCCCGCCCCCGCCCATCCCCCGCCTCCACCACGCGCACGCATCCACGTACGCTGCTCAGCAACCAGAGGCTCCACCCTCTGCTCCGTTCGGTTGTGCCTATTGGACCGAAGAATCCCGGGCTTCGCTCTCTACTCGTGTTACGGTTGGTTTCCTTTGCCATAGATGTCAACGAAATTAACATTCGATTGGGTAAACTTGGAGGAGGGGGCTGGCCGAAACTTCCGGGGACGGAGCTTCTTGGCTTCGTAACGAATTGCCGTGAACGAAAGGAAGGAGCCCAGAGAAAACACACATTTTGGGAGTTTAGGAATGTGCCTGATGCGGGTTATCGAAAGGACTGAGCGACTTAGTATTTACATGAAATATAAAGATAGTTGATAACCTTTAAGCTTCCATATGCCCTTAGGTAATAGTTGTCTCTGCAGAATAAGAGACATGGTGGCAACGGCCTTAGCAGCCTGCTTTGGGTCAGGCTCTGGACTGGACGCCCCTAGATGAGGGGGCCTCTGGGCAGTTGGAGACCCACGGAAGATGGTAGCGATGGCGGCTAAGCCTGGCAGATGGCGGCTTAGGCAGGCGTTAGGGCTGCGGTTGCTATTGACCACTGTGCTTCAAGCGGTGAGTGGAGATCCCTGTGCTCTAGCCCCAGAGCCAGTGGGAGGGATTGCGCTGAAGAAGATGGAAAATTCGGTAACGTTTGGGAGCCACACACGGCTTCCTTAGTGACTGCCGTGGTTGAAATGCTACGTGGCTTCATCCCTCGCCCGATTCTAATTCTTCCCCGCCCCGGTTTCTAGCGGTCCTTTCTCCTGACTTCAGACTATCTTGAGTACATATCTTCTCTTGCAGAGCTGCAGCAAAGAAAAAAATGTAAATCACACAGTGAAGCAAAAGGAGGGAGGTTGGGCAATCAATCTTGGAAAGAAATGAATATATTTAAGTCGGCGGAAATGCAAGGGGCTACCGTTACTCCCAAGTCTTAGAGGAAATCAGCTGTTTGGTCTAGGGTATACTTACTGTTTACTTTTTTCTCAATTATTAGTGGTCTCATTCGCTATTAGACATTCTCGTACCGCTGGGTGCAGTTCATACTTTGTGGTTTTAAACAACGTTGCAATAAAAGGAGATACTCTAAACATAGTTTATCTTTGAAACTTATAATCTAAAATGACAGCCTTCATTTCGCTTAATATTAAGTATTAACCAAGTTTTTTATTTAGTATTTCTCCATTAGCAGAACATAGATGTTAATCTTTGAGTGGAGAAAGGCTACTCTAGACTTACATTCACTCATGAACAACTTAGTAGTGGTTAATTCCCCCTAAGAAGTTTAGCAATCCATGTTTTACTATGTGAATAATAAAACTTTTTATAGGCACCGACCTGGGAGCTTTTACATGCTTGTCAGCTTAATTCTTCAGCTATTCTCTATACGAGCCTGTTGAAAAGTTTTTTCCTAAGAGACTTGGTTTGATTTATCCAAGGCTTGGGGGAGTGAGGGCCTATATGAAAGATTTCCATGAACACCTCTTTTCTTACATCAAGGAGTTTGAAAATCTATTTGCTTTTGCAACCATATCTAAAAGGTGGATTATTTCTCTAATTAGCATTACAGTACTCCATTATTCAGGCATTTATTTGGTGTCTTAGAAATTCTTAGAAGACTCCCTCTCTAAACTTTCTACTGTAGATTTTTTTTGCCATTCTTAGGTAATTTGAGTTCATCACCATGCCAAGATAAAAAGAAATAACATTTTAAGCTGCCTCCTCCTGATTTCCCTATTTCTTTGACTGATTCACTCTTTAGTTATGTAACCACCCCCAAACTTAGTGGCTTAAAATAACAAGGATTTCTCATAATTCTGTGGGTCTGCTGAGCAGTACGTCTGTTGATTTCCTCTGGCTTCATTCATGCAGCTATGTTGAGCTAGTAGGTCAGCTGGACTGAAAGGTCCAAGACAGCTTCATTCTTAGTTGGTGCTGTTTGCCAGAGCAACTTGGTTCTTCTCTGTGACCTCTCATCCTCCAGTAGGCCAGACCAACTTCTTTCGTGACAGTGTCAGTGCAGCACACAAAAGAGCAAAAGTTCAATACTTAAAAAGCCTAGCCTTGGAAGTCACTTTTATTACTTCTAATTCATAATATTTGTCAAAGCAAATCACAAGACCATTCTAGATTTCAGGGGTGGGGACAGACTCCATCTCTGTATGAAGAGTGACACAGCCACATTGCAAAGAAGTGTACATACCAGGAGAGGACTGTATGGCCAGTAAACAACCTACCACAGTGACCATCCACAAAGTTCAAGCCAGAAACGGGTGTCATCTCTGACTCCTTCCTCTTCTTGCATACCTTATGTCCAGGCAATTAACCAAGTCTTCTTGATTTTACTTCCTAATATCTTGCATTCATCAACTTACTGTTAATCCCTCATTCAAGCCACCAGTATCTCTCTCCTTAGAAATAACAGTTCCCCTTTGAATTATCAGAACCTAAATGGTTGGCTCTGCCAGCTTCCCAACTGCTCTAGCCAGAAATTAGTCATTTTAAATTCTTCTATTTCCTTTCACTCTGAATCCAATTAGTCATTAAGTTTTTAAAAATCTCCACATCAATCCACTTAATTCTGTCTCCACAGGTACTACTTAGATTCAGGGCACCATCTTTGCTTGCCTGGAATTACAACAGCTTCCTTTTTTGATCTCCCCATCTCATTTTCTCCCTTTCTAGTTCAGTCTCTACAGTGCATCTGATGTCATCTTTCTAAATCTTAAATCTGCTGTTATTAAAACTTTTCAGTGGTTTTTAAGGTGAAGTCTGTACTTAATGTTTCTACAAGACCTGTTTGACCTGATAATTGTTTGTCTATTCAGGCTTAATAGAAAATAGAAAGGGAGTCCTGAGTAATTCACCCTTGTTGAACTATTTGAACTTCCCTAAAGTTTATTCCTGTCTCTTTCAACTTTAATGACTAGGATTTTTAAGAAAAGGCAATAAAATCCTTGAAAATGTAAAAGCAAGTGTAGAGAATTGTTTGAAAACCACTAAGTTAGGAAAACTGCATCTTACAGTTAGTCTGAAGGGGGAAAAGGCCAGGTGAAATAAATACTTGGCAGTAGTAAAAATAAGCCAAATCTTTGGAACCTGAAAGGTGAACAAAAAGGGAATGAGGGAAGAATTTCTTGGCACCTTGAGGTTGAGCTATTGGTATGGGTAGAGGACTTAGCTCCTACTTTGTTAATTCATACCTAAGAGTCCTTAGATTAGACAAGTTGACTTTTTATCTTGTGCCTCTGAATCACTTTACTCTGAACTTAATAGCAATGCATAGTTATCAGCATTCCAATAAGATGACAACTGGGAAGATATAAAGTGATTTAATCTGAAAATACTATTTTGAGTATGCTTAGGCGTTAGAAAATAGTATTTTAGTATGGCCTACGGGAGCACCCCAGAACTAAGTGGTATTCAGCTCTTCATTCAGCTTGTACATAATATTTCTTCATTCAGAAAAGCACTCTACTGATAGCAGTATAGAATGATATTGTTTATAATTTATTCTAAGACAGCACCTCACCTCACATCCCCCTTTTTCTTCACAGGTTAACATTTGGATTGGTCATGTTTCATTGGGTGGCACAATTATAATTGTCAGTGTTTTTGTTATTCTAATGGTACACACAATAATAGTGCATCATGGATTCTGTGAAATATAATACTTAGAGTGGTTGAGGGTTTTGAGCACCAGCCAGGATTCGAATCTTGATACTACCACCTATCGTTTGCTGTGCTGTCTTAGAAAAAATACATTATGCTAAGCCTTTGTTTCCTTCTCTGTAAAATGAGGATGATAATACCTAATTCACAGATTGGATAAGTGTCTTGCCAATGGGTTTCAGCCCCTGGCAAGTTCTCTATGAATTCAGTGTGACCAAAGAAATGACAGTAGGACGTTTCTTTGGGGTGAAAAGGTTTATTACCCAGCCTGTTCTGCTGGCGGAAGGTCGAGCACTAGCATCCCTGCCTCTGCCCAGAGCACTGGGCCAAGCTCTCTCTATAGTGCAATAATAGCTTATTGCCTAAAGGTGTGGAAGCGGTAGCCTAGCAACAGGCCAATTGCATCATCAGGTGGCTTAAGTTCAGTGAGGATCCTGGCCATAGGAACCCCAACTTCCCCACAGTAAGATTAAATGAAATAATGATGTAAAGTGCTTAGCAAAATATCTGGTGCTTTGTAAGAGCTTACTAAGATGGCCATGTTTCTGGTATTAATTTTAATGGGGTTCATCTGTAAACCCATCTCTTTGCTTTTGTCCCAGATTTGAAATCTGTTCAAAATTACCTGAGAAACCTGAGTTTTCTGAGAGTAAAGACCAACTAAAAGACAGCTTATTATGTACAAGTATAATAAAATGTATAGCTATACCATACTTTGCCTGAAAAGATAATGTTATCGTATAATCCAGTTTATTTGCGGACAACTCTCCTCTACAAGGAACTCAGTGCCAGAAAAATAAATTAATGAATAATGCACAGAGGAGAGAGTGGAGTCTGTTAGCTTATCAGTCCTACTTTGAATTG